AATAGTTCTCACTCTGACCTTTTCATAAATATACATTCCACAAGTGAGGCAATATGTACCCTTCAACACAATTCCTCTGTCATTACTAAGTCAAAAAAACAACTCAAAGTACAAGCTGTACTTTTATCAATTTTGCATGTGAAGCCAGTAAATACATAAACTAGTGAACAGTTTCATTCAACTTCTCTCATTAAAAGGATACTACTTTCAAGATTTTAATTTAGATCTTATATAAAAATAGAAAAACAAGATCTACGTTAAGAAAAAATAGAAGTTACGAAATCAGAACATGTTCTTATATTGAAAGTACAAATTTGCACAAGCAATTTAACAAAACTATTGTACAATGGACTTGAAACTGTCTCCTAAAAGGCATCAACTCTCAGTTCACAGTTTAATATACTGTTTAACAACTCTCGGATTTTAAATTCTTAATATTTCACTATTTAAATAGCATTTTCTCAATACACTGGAACAGTTCCATCACTTCTGAAATCTTAACAATCAGGACTGCACAATCAGGATGCAACTATTACTGGAAGTAAAAATAATACTTTAAATAGGATTACATGACAGTCCCTTATGTCACATCTCTTGTTTTTCCTTGGAGTCACCACTTTTAACATTATCGTTGCATTAAACATAGAAACCAGGTTCTTCCCTACATAATGATAGAAATGACAATGACGGGAAGCACAGCAACGCAATGATTCAGAGTTTCACGTTTCAGGCACACCTGAATCCATGTTAGCAACACCAGGTAGGGATAGAGTTAAATGCGGGTGGGGTTAAATAGAAATCGCTGATAAAAATATCAAGCAATGGACTCACTTGGTGAACTGACATTCGAGAATGATGCAGAATACAGAAACCGTTTTGACTGTCACCAGAGAAACACTGGAAAACCCTACAGTCCGGGGGCAGGAAAACACTCTGGGAGTCTAGGCTGGGAGTCGTCGGAGGTGGAACAGGAAGCGTGGGGCGGGACCAGAGAAACCAAAACAATTTGCACGTCTGGGCCAGCGAAACCCGAGGCGCAGGCGGTGGGCACCGCGCACCAAACAGCCCGAGGACCCGCGGACTCCTGCCGGGTCACCTTTTGGAGCCTTGGTCCTGGGGCCTCCCGCAAGCTGGGCGTCAGCCCGCCCTCTGTCTGGAAGCGCCCTCCGAGGAGAGATAAGGAGACCCGGCGACCTGGACAAGCGCTCGTGGCTACCAGGCTGCCAGCTGCCCCATTCTACCATTCCACCTCGGTACCCAAGCAGCCACTTACCCGGATGCAGGCCGCAACTACTTCGGCGGCAGTGGCGACGTGACTCTTCCCAGCCTTGACGTCCACTCCGGCTGGTCGGCATCAGCTGAGCTTCCAAAGCAAACCGAAGAGCAGCAGTAGGGAACCACCCCCTCCCGAGCTCCGCCCCGTCCCAGCGGAAGTGACGCGCACGCTCTCCGCGTCTACCCGCCCGTCCACGGGGAGCTCTGCCCCTTCGCTCGGGCTCTACCTCCCGGTCAATCACCTGCTCCGCCCCGGTCCCGAGACATGCGCAATAGAGCATGACTGAGCGCGAGGTGGAAGGCGTGCGTGCCGGCACGCTCCTGCTTGCGTCCGAGAGGCGCTGCTTGGAGGCGGGCCCGAGGAGTTTTGTTTTTCTTTGTGCTCGTGCTTGCGGGCTTCTATCCTTTGCAGCTGAGGTAACCCTGCATCTTCATGACCTTAAAGGCCCTGTTCGCGCTTGCGCCGTGCCTAGGAGCTGGGTTCTGCATTACTAACCTCCTGGGGAGTAGTGAGCACCCTCCGTTCTGCCGTCACCATTCCTGGGAATGGCCACCTGGCTTAAATATCACTAGAAAGCGCTTTCACGTGTGTCATATTTGAAGTTAGCCTGTAGCGTTAATATATACTGCCCCACAGAAGGTCCCACATGTAACAATATTTTTCAAATTGTGACATGTTATGCATACCAGGTTAGCAAACGATAGATCGCCCTTAAGGCAAATAATGGCCCACGGCCTGTTTTTGCACATCAGTAAGCTAAGAATGGTTTTTACATTTTCAAGTGGTTAAAAAAATAAAGGTTTCGGGACATATGACAGTGATATGAAATTCAAATTTCAGTATCCATAAAAAAAAGTTTTATTAGAACATAGCCATGCCCAATCTCTTCTATGTCAAGAAGCTTTTATGCTGCAGAAGCGAATTTGGATAGTTACAGCAGCTTCCCTTACTCAGTTGAATTGACCTGACAAATAAATTGAGGTTAGGAAATGTAGAAAACTAGTCATCGCTAGGCCTCAAATTCAAAATGTTCCTGATGAGACAAAGAGTTAACAGGAGCGGGCTTGTAAGCTGGCAGGAGTGAGCTTAAACATTAACTGTTTGCCTCTGACTCCCCTGGCTAGCACTGCACCTGCAAGCTGACAAGTACCCTACATCCATCATAGGTGGGAACAGAACAGTCCCCAATCACAATGGCAACCCCCTGCAAACTAACAAACACCCATCATAGGTGGGAACAGACCGGTTCCCAATCGCAACAGCAGCCCCCTCAAGCTGACATCCATCATGGAATCGTGGATGGGAACAGGACAATTTCCAGGAGAAGACAATGTAACGCGCGCCCCCCCCCCTTTCCCCGGAAACTGACAAGCACCCTACATCCTGCATAAAAATATAAAACCCCAGCACTNTCAGCTCTGCAAGATGAAGAAGTGCTGGAAATCTGTTTTATAACAACGTGCATGTACTTATGCTACCGAACTATGTACTTAAAAATAATTAAGATGGTAAATTTTATGATATGTGCTTTTTTTTTTAAAAAAAAAGATGAACAATAGTGGGAGGTCTACAGCTGAAGAGGAATCATATACCTGGATCTGCAGAGACCTAAGCAAATGAAAACTAGTCAGAGCTGATGAACCCCATGGGGCCTGAGTCAAGTCAACAGAAACTACCATTTAAGGGCACTTTCAAAGTTCAGGGTAAATGGAACTCCCACACTAAGCCACCACCATTGAAGTTTAACTCACAAAGATTACAAAACATGTGAGGAAATGAACCATCACCTCAAGAGAGTACCAGCAAATAAGAGAGTACCAGCAAATACTGCCAACAGGAAAATGTGTAACCATGATTTAGAAATAACAGAAAAAGTTAAGTAGATTTACAATGTCAATTATATAACAGGGAACAAAAATGAGGCAAGAAAGAGATCTGTACAAAGAGTGAACAAGAAGAGCAAATTTTAGAAATGAAAACTCCAGCTACATGCTAGTTACTAGACACATTTATAATATAATGACAAAGAAATTGAAAATAAAAGAATATGGAAAATGATATACCAGGCCTATATTACCAACAACAACAAAAGGTAAAAAATCACTTTAAGGCAAATTTAAGGTAAAAGCATTAAATAAGGATAAAAAAGGGATACTGTATGATAGTAAAAGGAATAATCCATTTACTTACTCGTATTAAACCTCGGGTAGTCCTCTAGGCCTTGGAGAAGAAGACAATCTACTAATAAATAAGTAACATAATTTATAATATCAGGTAGAGAAGTGCCATGAGGAAAAATACAGCTGGAGGTTGGGGCAGAAGGGCACAGAGACAGTGCTATTTTAGTTGACCAGGTCAGGAGAAGAACTGAGTTGACGTTTTACTGGCCACCCAAATGAAGTGAGGAAGAAAATTATTAAAAGTATCTGGGGAAAAAAGCATTCAAGGCAGAAGAAAAAGCAACCAAAGCTTTGGAGACAGGAATGGGCTTTGTCTATTCAGGAATAGCAAGAACAACAATGTGGTTAAAGGGAAGTAAGAAATGGGAAAAATTATGGAAATGGGCCCAAGAGTCAAGCAGAAGACTGAGCTATAGAAGCCCAGACTACAGTAATGGGTCTGTATTGTTTCTTTTCAATAAAATATAACCTTTATGACCAATTATGAATACACCTATCAATTTAGCACTGAAATACAGTATATGATGCAAAAAAAAGGAACTACCAGAAGATTAGACAATTTTATGATTATAATATTTTAATATACCTCTCTAGAAACTGCAATTATCAAGCAAAAATTACTAACCATAGAGAGCTATCAACAAGCTTAATTTAGNATTAGGAAACAAAATATAAATTTGACAAAAATTAAAGCTTAAACCCACCCTGAATAGCACTTGCCTTTTCTCGCTGAAGAGATAGACGCTTTTTCTCCTCCGCATTTTTGTCTTTACTGACAGCATGCTCAGCTTTAGTAGCTTCTTCCTGTTCTTCTGAGTGACTCTTTGAGTCATACTTCAATTTGGGCACAAGTCCACCAATATAACCCCCTACTAAGGCTTGCACACCTTCAGTGGGGCGAGAAAGGAAGTTAGCAATACTTTGTTTAGTAGAAACTGGAAGAACCTCCGTTGTCCCGCTGGGACTTCCAGGTTTGTCCACAGTCTCTAAGGAAGATGCTGAGTCTAGCTTTTTATCAGTCGGAACACCACCATCTGGACAACTGGATTTCTCTTCTTCAACCTTTTTACCTTCAAGTTCTGATTTGTCCTGGAAATGTTTATTTTCCTTTTTTTCAGACATTTTTTCCTCACGTTTGAAGTATGAATTAATATGATTGGATAAAAAGTAGAATGACTCTCCAAATTTTGTGGTTATGCTACTTGTGTGATGAACAAGGCTTTGTTTACTGGTATCTTCGTCTTTATCTATAACCTGACTTTGCTTTCCTGGAAAAGAACTCTTTTCTGCTGATTTGTCACTATATTTTTTCAGAGATTTGATGGTTTGTTTAATGTTTTCCTGTTTTAACCAACCACTATCTGATGCTTTTCTTAATATTGGAGAACTTGGCATAAATTGAGCTAAACGTGAGATCATTTCATTCTGATTTCCAAAAACAGCCTTTGAAACAGAATTCAAAGTACTTTTAATACGGGACATACGAATGCTCACTTTTGTCAGTCCCTTGGGAGCAGAAGTGCTAAGTTTCAAAATCCCAATATGTAAACCATCATTGCTTGGCGAGTAACAGTGCTTACTGCAAGAAGGTGCTTCACTTTTGGTCAATTTACATCTTATTCTGCTGGTATGAAAACCTCTTTGTAGACTGATGTGGCTTATCCTCCAGTGATGTTTAGGTGAGCACAAGAAATGTAGCTGTTTGCTCTTCTGCTTCCCACAAAGACTTCGTGCATTACTAAGGAGGTAAATATATATATCTATAGTCAAACTAATAGACATAACTTAAAAATCGCTTATTTTCTATATGTTTTGACTTTCACTTCATTCCTGAATGCTTCATTTAAAAAATGCCATAATTCATGGTCTTACCTGAAATGGCAAAAAAAAAAAAAAAAAAATTAGGATTCAAGGTAAAATTGAAATTGGGTATATGAAAAAAATAACATTACTACTTGAACTAAATTTGGTAACTTGTCTCAAAAAAAAGACAGAATAATATATTTCCATTATGGTTGATAGATTTCACTTTTAAGCTAACAAAAAATTATCCATCTTTCAGTACAGATGTCAATGAAAATAGAAAGTGAGTAGTAGGATGTTTCATGAGCACTAATTTAGAGAAGTTACCCAATAGATAAGTTTTCTGACAACATAATTGAACATACAATTTAGATACTATGCTGTTTTTCTTCCTTATTGAGAAACTCTTGACAAGTTTATGTGACACTAGGCTTTAAGTTCTTTGAAGCCAAGAGTCAGGTCTTACATTTCATTCACCTTAAACCATTTATGTTTAATCTGCAGTAAACATGTTGCTAGATGCAGACAACAAAGACAAACAGGATACTAAGAAACGTGAAGTCTAGAGCTAGAGATAGCCACATAAAGAAGATTTTACTATCTAGGCATAAGTACTTATTAAATAGAAGAATTCAGACTAGAAGAAGCTATGTGCAACATCTAACAGATAAGGGGTTCATAACCACAACATAAAAAGAACACATAAGAATGAAAAGATTAACCCAATAGAAAAATAGGCAAAGAACATAAAGGCCAGTCACAGAAGAATAAATATATGAAAGCATCCTTCACATCAAAGAAAAATTCCAGTTAAAAGAAATATTTTGTTCTTTCAATTGGTTACAATGTAAACGACTGATAATACCCAGTACTGATAATGGGCTGGGGAAATGGGACACAGAGGGTTACTTGACAGTATCTAATAAAATATTAAATGCTATCTATCAAATTTGAAGGCGCATACTCTTTGATCAGCAATTTCCACATTAAGACTCTATACTACATAAATACTTGTGTAAGAGTACAATGGTATATACACATAATCCCAGCCACATTGCTTGAAATAACAAAACACTGAAAAACAATTCTATGTGTCTTCTATTAGCAAGGGACGGTTAAATAAATTATGGTACATACATACAGTGGAATGAGTTACCATAGCAGTTAGAAAAAACCAGATGATCTGTGTATACTGACATATCCTTCATACAGAGTACAGTGGAAAAGGCTACACACACACACACACACACACACACACACACACACACACACACACACACAAAGAGAGAGATTCTGAAAGGGTAAGGACCAGTTTATTTATTCTTGTGACCTGAGGAGTGGAATCAAAAGAGAATGC